TGACTACCTGATTTTGTGGACAATTGGTAGGAAAGTGACCATCTTACATGGATCCTGATGTATTCATGTCTCCTGCACAGAAAATTGTTTGGCAACTAGGTATGTCTCTTTTTACACCAACGAGTCTTCTCTGAACAATAAATTTTCAAGCTTGTCGGCACTATCAGTCATGATATCGGTAAGATGTCTCTGCTTGCCAAACCAATCGCATGCTGAACAGGCCTTAGTATATATACCTCAAAGGAACTTGTGAGTTCATTCTATTCGGGCGGACTTGGTTTTTGCCTAAAGAAATGTATGCAGATGTGTGGTTTGGTCTGTATCTCATACAAGCCAATGGTAAGAAACCGTGTCTACTATGTTGCTGGAAATTTATCGACAGATTGTTGAACAGTTGTTGCGAATGTGCTATTAGCCTCGTAAGTCGTCAAAACCAAAAACTACAGAACATCGTAACTATGGACGACATGCAGATTGAATCGCCGACTCGTTTTAAGGAAAGAAGGCAACAGGGATGACAGCATTCCCATGGTGAGATCGAGTCTTCTATGTATTTCATATCCGCAGGTGTTGATATCACACCTCAGGATCCTATTATGATCAGAGTAGATGTTGCACGATCGCAGGCCACCGAACCAGAAGTCAAGACACAGGATTCATTTTAGGGGCACTGGGCCACGTGGTTCTTGCGGCAGCAAGAAAGAAAGAAAGTGGTTCTTTACCTACGGATGGAGCGATGTTGTGAACGTGACGAATCACAATAGTCATGCCGGTTCTGCATAGATCTAGAGACGCAAAGACTAAGGTTGTATTTCGAAATGTTGGTACCATCGATTTCTCAAGTTTCAGGGCCTATGCTCTGAGTCTGCGATCTTATGTGGTCTCCCGTAGGCAGACCAAATATTGAAAGAAGATAGTCGTTCTATATGCGATTTCGTTATCTCTTGCAAGTTGTCATTCGCAAAAATCGCATCTACTAGCATCTACTTTATTGACTGCCAGGTTTCAGCCTCCGCGGCAAGCTTCAATGTCGACATCCACCATTTCATCTTACCTCAAGTCCCAGAAGGCAGATTTTCTAGCTGATCACGGGGAGGGCTGGACGGTAGTGATGGGCAATGAAGCAGGCGGTACGATCAACCTCATTTCACTCGTTCTCAGTCCTCGTCATTTTTCTCCATTACATAGATCTTGATTCTATCGCTAGCGCGCTCGGATACGCCTGGCTGCACTCACACACGAGCGCAAAGACGATCGCATGTATAATTACGCCTAGGGCGGATTTCGTCCTTAGAAGGGAGAATCTGCATGCCCTTAGTCTGGCAGAAATCAACCAGCCTTACGAAGAGCTTTATTGCTCTGGTGATCCTATGCCATCACTGCAGGTATCCCAGTTTGCCCTTGTGGATCACAACGTCCTCCACACCAAATACGCCTCTCCAACAGCCAAAGTTGTTGCAATAATTGACCATCACGAGGATGAAGGACAATATAAGGATACAGCTGATCCAAGGATAATCAAATTGGCTGCAAGTTGCTCGTCTCTTGTTGCAAGATTGTATCAATCATCCTCAAATCTTGCTATACCCCCAGAACTGGCCACGCTCTTGCTGTGTGCCATTTTGGTTGATACCCAAGGTCTCAAGGCGGGAGGGAGAGCTCTCGATGTCGACAGGGAGGCAGCTGCGTTTTTAATTCCTCATTCCCTTTTGGCGAAAGTCTCCGCAGCATCGGGTGACCGACCAATTACACAACTCCCTTCCGTTCAGTCTCTATCCGTGGCGTTGAGAGAGAAAAAATTCGCTGTATCCCATCTCAGCACACGGGACTTGCTGCGGAGAGACTACAAAGAATATGCATTCAGAGCGCCTGTATTTGATGATGCGACAAAGTCTTCAAAGGTGATAAAAGCGGGTCTCGCCACCGTTCCACTTTGTCTCTCCGCATTTTTTGCTTCATCACAAAATCCCATAGAGGAAAACCAAGATTGGCTTACCGAAAGAGATCTTAGCGTTCTTGGCGTGCTTACGACTTTTCGGGACAAGAAAGATAAAGGAAGGAGGGAGCAACTTTGGATAATCAAAGCAGCAGATGAAGATATCGCAGAGAAACTTTGGCCGGGCCTCGAATCAAGTGAAGAGCTCAGGCTGAAGAGGCTTGATTTCTCGAAGTTCGTTGGCAACGGCGACACGACTGAGGAATCTGAGGACGAAGGTACTGAAGAAGCCACGACCGATGAAGCGCAGTTCGGGGAGTCATATATTGCGAGGGCGTACAAGCAGGGTATCACGAGTGCGACGAGGAAGCAGATTGCTCCAATTCTCCGGAGAATTATGGAAGGACCACGAGCTGATTGCTTGAGGCTGCCTGAATTTTACTCATACCGGTTGTAGTTATATCCGATATATGTGTGTACAATTAAAACGCAAGATCTTAGATGTACCCATGGAATGGTCACGATCAATCGTGTCGGATCCATCGTCCGGGTATTTTTTTCATGGGGTGACCCCAGACAGTGAGCAACACGACATCAGACACCTATACAAGTTCGAACCTCGAATTTCGTGGAGACACGAGTCTGAAGTTATATGTTATATTCATAAAGCGATCACCCGGGGTCGGGAGATAACCCACGGTTTAATGGATTCACACTCCATACACTTCGTAGTATCTTCGTAGATTGAGGATTTCTTTAGATGACGAAATGGTATGGACGCACTTGACAACATGTTGAGACACAAACCCGTTATGCTGGAGTCGAAAGATGATGCCTGCCACGGTGAGCTGAGAGTCTGAGACGTTGCTGCATGTACATGTTCACCTCACCGTCATGCGCGGACATCTGGAATGGGTTGCAGTTCGATGCAATTCACTACCGCTGCTTGCCCCGGACTCTCTCAATGCTCGCACATCCATTCGAATAGATTTCACGCGTCCTTCGAATGTTGTAGAATTCAGCGACATGCACAAACTCTCCAAGCCTTCCCACGCTTACCGCTCATAAATTATGTGGACAGATGAGGTGCAGCACTGAATCAGTAGCAAACCATGACACTTGCACGGGCGCAAAATGGTAGGTGCTACAACACAACATGATGTGGTAGACACCATTGACACCGAGCCGGCGGATGTGTGCTAGAAATAACAGATAACGGGAACGATTCAAAGACGCCTTTCATTGTCGTGACATTTTCTACGAACACTAGTCTGTACATCTTCAGTCGAACACAGCAGCCCGCACAAATAAAAAAAGGAGCGAGAGAACTCGAATGTGCTCACTAACAGATAGTGGATAGTCTACGACCATCTAGGAACAAACTCCCTGAACCGACTCACGGACTCCTGCATACCTGCGCATTGAGGGCTGCTGGCTTGTACGGCGTAAGCCTCTGGTACTAGTTCCTCAAGATGCTGACGAAAAATGAGAACATGAAGCTCAAAGTAGGAACACCGCACTGACTTTGATTCTCCGTTCTGCACCAGGATGCGTGCGCAAGAATTCCAGACTTGATCCTCCGTGCGCTTGTTCGTATTTTGCAAGTCGTGCATGCATTCTATAAATATCACGTACATAAGCCAGACAACGGAAACCCCAAATCACTCACTCCACAGCAGCTTGAGGGTCAAAACATGCCTTTGCAGTGAGCTGCATGCCGATAGCGTCGGCTACGTCCCTGACGTCAACGTTTCCATGTTTATACTGGAAGAAACACACCCTCGTATTCTTGAGTCCGCGAATTGGGTAGTTCCAATAGCAACGTGCTTATGAGGCTGGTGATTCCGAAATCGAAACCGAGCACTGTTTGCAGAAGAAATGCGATCCCCAAGAATACTTTAGAGGACGAATAGCGTTCAGAAGCATGTCGAGCAACTGGTAAAGGAGTGTTGAGAATATGCATGTATGTTGTATCATGCCATCGTACCCACGTGGGCGATCTCTGCCGAATAATTTGAGTTGTGCAGGTTATCCCTTGCAGGATCGCGTACCATGTCCAAGGACAGCAGCCAAACCCTGTTCGTCCTTGCATATAGGCAAAATTCCGGTAAACACTACGATATTTCCTGTTGCCACATATATGTAAAGGTGTCACTTTCAGAGGCAGCTCGAGAGCGAACCAAAAGTGGCCATGGCGTTCACAACGGCTGGATCATTCACAACGAGCAAATTCCACTCTTTGCCTCCGCTCTCTGGGGTAGACGACTCCCCGGAAGGTCTTCCAGTGGTGAATGGGTCTTCGCTCCAGAAATCATCTAGTGCTTCCCCTGGGGACCGGCGAGGCTCGCTGGAACGCAGATGACCAAGATCCGATGATTCAAGAACGCGAGTAACGACTCGTTGGACGTGTCGTGTGACTGGATGATTAGATGGTAGTATCTTGCCTCGGAATTCGGCCAAGAGCTCGTTATATGCCGCCTGTGCAAGCTGCAAGGGAAAACTTATGAGGGATTGTTCCTTCGGTCCAAACTTGCACCCACCTTTGTCTCGTATTTGGGACTTATATCCATGAATCTCCACCTACCTGTCTCAGGGACTTGCTCTAAACTTGAGGACTAAAATGAGACACGGCATCACAAGTAGTGCATTGAACGCATACTGCACGACATAATATGTTCCTCCGACTGCAACAAGCGCAATGACAATCTTCATCCGGTTGTCTATCGCCTGTCCCGGTGAATGACGGTGTTTTTCGGAAGGAAAGCGCGTATACTGAGCATGCCGAGGAGATGACGTCGAAAGTTGGCGTAGTAGGGGCGTTGAGCGAATGCCAGATGTCGGTAGTCGAATCCGAATGTAATTTTGAGCAAGAACTGGCGGGTCCCGAGTAGCATGCGACGCACGCAGAATAGGCGCCGTTGTCTTCCACATACGAGCAGGGAACATGATGAATGTCGTCTTAGTCTTAGTTTGACTTGAGTCTGACAATAGTTAAACAGACTTAGCGCTCTGCATGAGGGACCAATTGGCAGCTAAGAAAATTGACAAGGCTCTTAAATCATAGTCGGATATGGTGTAATGGTTAACATTACCGCCTCTCATATTTGGGTTCGCGGTAGCTCGGGGTTCGATTCCCCGTATCCGAATTATTTTATTATTTCCCTTACTAGATTTGCAGTTTATAAGTAATCGAGTACTTTTTGACTAGGTAACAGAATTGGATCTCGCCAAGTACCTCCAAGTACTCCATGTCCAGCTGGCTTCATGTCCGCCTTGTGTCTGACTTCAACAAGACCTCAATGTTGTGAGTATCAACGCCACTTACATTTTACGATCCGACTACTACGTGATCGGAAACTCGGACTCCTCGGATGTATCATATCCTTATGGACTTTACGGCCAAAAGCAACGACCAAGAGTATCTTCATGCGTCTAGTAGCCTAGTAGGGGAGACTAGCCCCAGTTAGGCTCCCTTATCCACAGTCCGGAGGCCTCAAACTTAGTTGCGCCTCGGAGCCCATGGGGCATATCCAGGTTGCAACACTGGTAGCGCCCCAATGGAGCCTGAAAGGCCCTGGAGAACCACCCTCAAGCCGCCAGGGTCCAATAATACCTTGTACGAATACGCAAAGTGGATCTTGAGATCACCGACCAGGGACCTGCTCGGGCCCGTTTGAAACTTTATTGGGTATATTCACGAATAATACTACTGGGTCAGCTCATTTGCCCCCATTTGTATACTGATTAGAGCTGCGTTGCTACTCAACCAGATAGCACGTGCGGACCGCAGCTGGAAGGAAGGCGGTATGCAGTTTCTTCCATATATGATACTGTCATACATCTGACGAACTTGGAGTATTCTTGGTTCTGATTTGAAAATTCAGCCTGGTGAGTCTTGCAATTGTGCCATGTGGGTCTTCCGCTGTCTTCCGTCATCTGTCACCCCTTTACTACGTACCATCACTGCATCAGGGACACATGGAAGGGGTTCGCTGGCGTTTGACTTTGAATAAATAGTATTACAAATTCAGAGGCTCTGAGTCTGTCTGTCTTCACCGATTTCCCTCGTCTCACCATGGCCGCTGACAGTGCCAAAGACGTTGAACTCGCCCATTGGGAACTCGCTCAAAGAAATGTATTCGTCAAAGAAGTGCAAATCACTGAAGAGCCGGTAGGAGGGGATGATACAGACAAGAATAACCTACAGCCCTTTTCATCCTCTTGTGAGTCCGTGACTCGGAATGAAGTTCATGATGTATAATTTATCCTCCCAGTCTTTTCCTCGGACCTAGCTCATATCCGAAGAGGGTACTTTAGCATTATCTTCCACTCAGTTGGTATCACCCTACTTTTGATGTGGATATGCCTGTCAGTGTGAGTACCCGAGTTTAATCGGTTGACGGTCTGCCACGATAACTTTGCAGGTACTGGGCTGCACTAGCATATTCGGATCGACTGACACACAATCTTACCGCTTGGTTCATCGATCGAGACAACAATACCATCGGACACGCGGTATGGGCAGGTATCAACAACGATACTACGCCGGGACCTCAGTTGGGCTGGAGCCAAGTCGACCCTACCATACTACCGAGCGACGATGACGTGATGCAGGCAGTCATCAATGAGCACGTTTGGTTGGCTCTTGTCGGTGAGCCACCATTTTGTGCGTTGCATCTTTGGCCATTCATCTTCCCCAGTCGAGACGAATGCTACTGATAAGTTGTCTGACGCGAGGCAAACTGGAAATAGCGCGTTCAACCCTACTTCCTTGCTCACTGTCTACTATGCCGAGGTGCGCAGCTCCAACCCACACGTACCACACAGCGGCTGATCGTACATCTCTAGGCTCGTCAAGAAATCGCGATTGGCACTTACGTGATTCCAAAATCCAACAACCTCCTTGGAGAGATTACGTCGTATCTTGCTACTGCTTCTGCGCAGCAATATTTTGCGCAAATCTATGCGCAGGGTCAAGTCAACGAAACCGCTTTGCAATTAATTGCGCAAGCTCCACAAACGATTTCTCCTGGCATTAGCTGGACCACTGTCAACCTTCGACCATTTAAGTGAGTTGCGGTTATTGCCTCTGATACGAGTGCTCATGGTTTCCAGCGCGCCTGTTGCGTCTGCCGTCACGGTTGTTGGGCAGATTTTTCTATGTATATTTACGTATGTTTTTTTCTAGAGTCATCCTCACCTTTCAATAACAACTCCACAGGTTCATTACAGTAACTCTACTACTCTCATTCGATGGCGAAGCTCACCCTTGTCCCCCACACAGGCTACAGCACATACGTCTGCTCTCGCTCTCGTACAGAAATACCTCCGATTTTCTTCTTACCTCCGACTTCGCTTTGCTGTACCATTACTAATCTACATACCTATGAGCTTAACATACACCGCCGTCAGCTTGGCATTCAAACTTCCCATAAACGCAAAGTATGTGTGACAACCTTGAGTGGCTGTTGCACACTGACCTCTTGGTAGATTTTCACCTGCGGGTGGCTTCTTCATCATGTGGATATATGTTTACCTAGGCACGACTGCCTCTGGACTGGCAATGGAGTCCATGCTCACCGTGCTTGGACCAAATCTCACTCCTGTCTTCCTGTTCTGCTTCGTAAGCTGTTTCCCTCGAGTTATCCCGTAGACCATGAGTTCACCTACGACTTATTAGATCATTGCCAACATCTCGACTTCAATCATTGCACGTGAATTGCAACCCGCCTTCTTTGGTTACGGCATTGCCTTTCCCTTCTGGTAAGTCACAGTTCCTCTGCACGCTAAGTTTGGATGTTCACACTGTACAGGAATTTGTGAGTATTCCGGTGTGCATACATGCCATGTGTTAATCCGTGGCATTAGGTCCCAGGCAATCCGGACTATAGTATTCAATACCCACTCGTATCTCCCGCGTAATGCAGGTGTTCTCGTGGCGTGGATCGTTCTCTCTGCACTGACGATGTCACTTTTTTCATGGTATTGCCGCTACAAAGTTACCGCGGCAGCCAGATCGAAGATGCATGAAAGGAGGTGAGATAAAGGTGCCCGAGAAGAAACTCCCTCTTTTTCCTCACAGCTATGCGTAATCGTATATTTCTAGCAATGTGTAAACACAGAATGAGGGATTGATATAGATCCAAATACTTATGCGATGTCTCAGATCGACGGGTGGAGGAGTAACGCAATCGCAGAGCACGATCATCCTCTTTTGACTCCCCATCGTTGGAGGCGTATTTCCTCCAGTTTTGTATGTCCTCCAGAGACAAGAGAAGGTCGACTGTGTAGAAGTCCCGAGCAAGTTCGTCATTACTAGCCTGATGCACGCCACTATGTGTGGCATGGTCTACAAATTGGGCCTTCTTGGCCAACAGACCATTCTGATTACCAGGCGTTCAACGAACCAACCTCCATAACCATACGACAGATATTAACATTGTTCTAAGTGCATTTCTTCTTGAGCACCTTGACATACGTGGATCGAGGGATGAGTTGGTGACACGTCAGCGGTACTTCACATTCGAAGGCCAAACAGGAGGAGGTGCACAGTCTTCACTGATATAGTCGCGCAGCACGCTGCGGATGAATTTCTGAGACGAATCCAGATCAGTGGTCAGGCTGTAGGCGGCGAGCGTGTCGTTGACCCGGAAGGGTATCGAGCGGGATGTCATTGAGGTCTGGTATTTTAGGGCGGGTTCCAAAGGTTGCCTTGTGCAACGAAAGCGGAAGCGCTTAGGGCTTGCCATGTTTCGGCAGCGAGGTATGAAGTGAACTCATCGAGGTCAGAATCATCGCCCTCTGTGCTCAGACTTTGCCTGTTCTTGGCGATTATTCAATGTGCAAAGCAGTCTTTGAAAGTTGAAAATTGAGGGGTATTGCTCTCGCCTCCAACAGTCATGCGGGTGATGGAATACGTGGTATAAAGCCAAAGTGGATAAGATTAGATTAGTGATCTCATGCACAGGTACAACATTGACCAGGCACCAACACATTCAACAACACTTCACTCTATCCTCACCGTCGACGACAGCGTCCAACCACAGCTCGTCGACGTGTAACGCGTCCTTCAGAGACAGCTGCATACCATACCACCCGTATACCTGTATGTAAATCTGTATTTCTCTTACTGCACATGGCACCTCCCAGGCGACGAGTATCATATGTTATACCTCCACCCACGGACGATGTTCCACGGCTCAGGCTACCACCGTTTGGAGTCCCTCGCAATGGTTCCATACGTCCGCTCCTCATACCCTCTCAGACACCACTAGCCGATTCCAAGAGCATTTCGGAGTATTCTCATCCCAGACATCGGCTGGGCGTCATGTCCTTCGCGCTCGACACAACCACGCGTCTCGAAGGTCGGAACACACCGGAAGGCATCCTATATACTGGTGGAAGGGATGGACTCGTCATGTCGTGGGATTTGGGACTTCCGTTCAAGCGCAGACATGATGGCAGGCACCGCAGAGGCAGGTTAGATAGGTGGGAAATGTTGACGGGGATGGGCGATGAAACACTTGCTGAGGAGGCTGAGGAAGAAGAGCGACGAGACGGTGATGTGCTAGGAGATGTAAAGGAGGGCGGAGGACGAAGACGAAGAGGCAGCGCAACTGACCAGTTACTACCATATGAGCTCCAGTGGCAATTGGACGCTGATGCGTTGACAGCAGGATCGGTGAGATACATCATTTATTGCGTTGCGTGCAACTGGAAGCATCTCTTGTAGCCTTCTAGCTTCCGTCAGTGTGCGCAGACCCACACAGACTGGGTGAACGATCTCTTGCTCTGTAATTATAACCAGACAGGTAAGCACATGGAATGCAGTAGCGCATAACAGGCTGACCGCAAGCAGTTGTTTCTGCATCATCTGATGGAACAATAAAGGCCTGGCATCCCCATGCCATTTCTCCTACTGACCCGTCTGCAATTGGGTCTCATGCCGATTATGCGCGTTGTCTCTCACTTTGGTATGTATTTTTCCAATATAATAGTTCGTACTGACATGTGTTTAGTCGTGAACAGAATTGGATAGCTTCTGGCTCATTTGACCGGACCATTAAACTCTGGGATCTAACCCGAGTATCGACAACACCCGAACCGTTCCTTACCCTCAACCCACCGGATGCTACTGCGCCAAAAG